CCATGACCGCGGCTGGAGCGTCTCTTCCCTCGGCCACCCCGCCCTTCCCGGCCGGGGAATGACGAAACCCGGCCACGTAAAGCTCTCGCTTTGACCCGGCCAACGCCGCTGGCGGCGAAGCGAGGCGAGACACTGAAGGGGGCGGGAGGAGGAGGAGGAGGCGGCGGCGGCGGGAAATGCCCTTGACGGGGCCGCGGCGAGTCCCCGCTGCACCAGCCACTTGCTTTCCCTTCCGAGGGCCGATAGCTGCCACTTACACCGCATTCACTAATTCGGAATAACTGCCAACGTACCACCCGCCCCCCGTTTGCCTTTACAGTACTGTACTTGTTACTGCTACCCATGAGGACTGGGGGCGGGCGGTTTCCGTTGACTCTATAATTATATAAAGAGAGGCTAAATATTCGCCTCTTTCGCGAAGTCTGGGTCAATCGATTTTGGATTCTGAAGCAGAAATCAGGGTCTTCCTTCCTCTCTGTCTTCTCCATAGTAGAAATATATTTTATTATAGTATATTTGTTTGTTTAATCTTCCTTAAATTTTCTGCCCAATCATCTGTACACTTTACTTCATGGAAGAGTAACTGTGCCTGGGTATAAAACCTTCAGGTAGTGTGAGTGGCATGTATGAGTGGCATGGAAGTAAGTAAGTAAGTAAGTAAGTAAGTAAGTAAGTAAGTAAGTAAGTAAGTAAGTAAGTAAGTAAGTAAGTAAGTAAGTAAGTAAGATAGATAGATAGATAGATAGATAGATAGATAGATAGATAGATAGATAGATAGATAGATAGATAGATAGATAGATAGATAGATAGATAGATAGATAGATAGATAGCGTAAGTAAGCAAGCAAGCAAGCAAGCAAGCAAACAAGCAAGTAGTATATAATAAGACAGGCTTTCCCTGGAAAGAAACACCATTAAAGTATTTCCTATAGGAAAGTGTTGCAAATAAGGTAGTCCCTTTGGCATTGACCAAAATGAAGAATTTACTTTCCAAAGAACAGTCATCTGCATAAAACTGGTTTTCTTTGAGACGAAAAAAGGCAGAAGAAGGTAAGAAAAACATGGATATCTTCAAACCGAGGTGTGTTTGGATTTCGTGTAAACGTCAAGAAATAAGGCAGTGTGATTCTGCATAAAACTTACATATGCCAATTTATATACGCAGCCTCAAGTTTACACTAAGTATTCTACTTTGAATAGAAATACAGTATTTCGCTACAGTGGGGAAGACTATGATTAGGGATGCTTCCAGCTGAGGCTTTTTACTGTGGAATCACACTGCCTTATTTCTTGACGTTTACACGAAATCCAAACACACCTCGGTTTGAAGATATCCATGTTTTTCTTACCTTCTTCTGCCTTTTTTCGTCTCAAAGAAAACCAGTTAAGAAAGAAAGAATAACTGTATAGTTCCTTTTAACTGGGACTGGAGAGGAAACCTGTGTACTTCATGGACATTTTCAAGATTCCTTACAGTGCTCTCTAACCATTTCATCTACTCTTTAATATCAATATCGTTGTAGTTGTTTAGTCGTGTCTGACTCTTCGTGACCCCATGGACCAGAGCACGCCAGGCCCTTCTATCTTCCACTCATGGAGTTGTGTCAAGTTCATGTTGGTAGCTTCGATGACACTGTCCATCCATCTCGTCCCCTTCTCCTCTTGCCGTCACACTTTCCTAACATCGTCTTTTCCAGGGAGATTTCTCTTCTCATGAGATGGCCAAAGTACTGGAGCCTCAGCTTCAGGGTCTGTCCTTCCAGTGAGCACTCAGGGTTGATTTCCTTTAGAATTGGTAGGTTTGTTCTCCTTGCAGTAATATACTAGACTTCAAATGAAGATAGGTATTGTTTGGATGCCGTTTTTAACCCTTTAAAAGGGAACACAAAAGCTTTATTGGATTTATAGGGTCAGGACACTGAATGGAGCCATGGAAATTTCACCTTGAAATAGTAATTGCTGTGCTAGATTAGACCAATGGTCCTGTTGATGTAAAGTAGTATCTTTATCACACAATAGCTAACCAGTGGCCTGTGAGAAGCCCTTAAGATTGTTAGGAGTTTGATATAAACTTTATATGCTGTCTATAGTTTGACTGACTTGGAGTGGGGTGATTTTCCAGACTGGGGTGATTATCTATCTATCTATCCAATACTAACCTTCCTTCCTTCCAGGCTCTGAAGTCAAAGAGAACTGTGCCTCTCTGCTCAGTTTTCTTTCTGTCTCCTTAATCTGCTGGTGGCAGCTGTTTGTCCCTGATAAAAAGTGTGCAATAAAGCAAGCAGTATATACAAGTCTATAAGTCTATAGTTTCAAGTATGTAATTTCAAGCTTGCTGTTTTTAGCTTTATTGGGTTTTTTAATGATGTAAACTGCTGCCTTGTGTCCTTTTTAAGGAGAACGATGGGGTAAAAATATTTTGAGGAAATAAGTAAGCAAATGAAAGTAATATTTTTTATTCTTTCTCCTCGAAACTTTAAATGGCAGTTAATGGGAAAAAGGTGGACTCTGAGAAATTTGAAGTTGTGCTCCTTGTGGCACAGTGGTTAAACTGCAGTACTATAGTCAAGACTCTGCTCACAACCTGAGTTCAATTCTCACAAGCTCAGGTACAGGTTCAGAGTTGACTCAGCCTTTTGTCCTTCCCAGGTTGGCAAACTGAGTACCCAGGTCACGGGGGACGGGGTACAATATGTAGCATGCATCATTGTACACCGACCAGAGAAGTTTTAAGCACTTTCAGGTGGTATCTAAGCAGCGCTTTCCCCTTTGCTTTGCACTTCTATTGTGTAGCAAAAATTAATTTTACTAGAAATTCAAAACTCTGCAATAAATACATAGCTATCACTGCTTTATTGTGAACATGACTGACACCCGGATTTTGATACTACCGTATTTAAAATTTATAAATTTAAATAATTTTTAAAAAATTTTTAAATATATTATTTTAAATGTGTTAAATTTGTTTTCATTTTTGAAAAACATTTACTATATCTCACTGTCTACTATTTCAACCAATTTTATAAGCACAGAGTGCTACTCCTGTCCTCTGAAGATGCCGGCCACAGAGACTGGGGAAACGTTAGGAAGAACAACCTTCAGAACATGGCCAAAGAGCCCGAAAACCCACAACAACCAATTTTATATTAGTTTACCTTTCATCTGGTTCTGGCTTAATGACCACTGTCCATTAGATTGCTGGATCAAATGACTAGGTATAAGGAACCCCATTGTTAACGGCTGCCTTCTTTACACCTGTCCTTGTTTCTGGTGCACAAAGTTTAAAAACCCAGTAAAGGTTCACTCCATAATCCATGAAGTCACACATTCTCCCAATCCCAAAACACACTATTTACATTTCCTGGTAACAAAGTTTCTCTAATGCTACTCATTATGCTGCCAAGTAACATGAGAAGCCCCAATCTACCAGTAGTACAGGTACAGTAGTACAGGTAGAGTAGCCCTGTCACAGGAAGGAGGGTCTCATGTTACAAAGCAATGGGAGAAGACAAGAGGGGTACTCCAGTGACTCTTCACCAAAATATTAACTTGAAAATTTGCTTTTCTACTTGGGCACAAAGGGCTTACTAAATAGGTACTGTATTATTGTAGCTGCCACACTAATAATTTGTAACATATTATTTGCCTTGCACTGAGGGATGTAAAGTACTTCTTGTATCCCTGAAAGTATGAAGATGAGAAATGGTAGGGGTATTTCTTAATGCTCAGAAGGTATTCTTGCAATTTCTAACCCAAAGATTTCCATGTAGGGAAAATGAAAATTTTAATGTAGTTCTGCATAGTTCAAGAAGTCCTGCTTGCCAGAGGACTCAGGGCAATCAAACCCATGTGTGGATTATCTCATGCAACAAAATATTTGAATGAGTGTCATGCAATCATTTGTGAAGTGTTTTCAAGGAGTGATACTACAAAAAAACATGTTGAGTTCCCAATGCATCACTTTTAAATATAAATATCCATAAGAAGAAAAGCCATTTTCAATGTGAATGTTCATTTTGACCAGTATTTAACCTCTGATTTGCAAGCAAAGGCAATTAAAATACTGTTTTAACTATGACTTGTGATGTCATTCTTTGGAGGACTAACACCAGTCACCTCTTTCATATAAATAATAACAAAGGATGATACAATAGACGTTGGTAAAAGAAAGCGGTACAGAATGTTCAGTCCAAAAGCAGGATTCCAGTGATTTCTATTAAACGTTGCCTTGCCAAATTATGCTTAATTAGCAATGCCTCTGCCTAAATTGAAGCAACAATTTGTGCTTAAACAATTGAGCATGGATGTAATGTGAAAGGGAAGACAGCAAGACTTGTATGCAATGCTTCTCAAAAACCGTCTAACTAGACAGGCAAGTTTCATTAAAATAAACCAAAACAATGCAATGTGGGTTGGGAGTTGTACCAAGTTATTGTACTGCTTACAATATCATCTTTATAAACTAAATCCACTTTCATTGCCTCTCCCAAGGTTTGTGTTCCAGTTTATTCTAATGAAGCCTGGAAGCCATACCAGCTGTTTCTTGGAATTCACATTTTTAAAAAAACAAAAGCAACACAGACTTTTTTTTACAAAAAATAATAGTTCATGTAATCAATATACTATTGTTTCTCTTTACTCTCAGTTGCATTCTTGCTTGCCACCCCATGAGTTCTCAGCAGTGGTCCCCACTGACAAAGCTACAGAACTAGCTGGCAGAGCCCCAGGGAAACTAAAACCTTCATGTCCCTCCAGATTTCCTGGACCCATCTAATTTTACAAAACTGGAAGGAATAAGCAACACAATGCCCTTTAATCCTCTCGTTCCACAGAGACTGGGAACTCAGGTTCTTCTTGCATGCAAGTCATCTGCCAGGGATGTAAGGTAGACTTGAAGGGAAGGGAAAAGTGTGATGAACAGTATCCTTTGCCCCTGTTCCCCACCCTCTCCACACACAATCACTGCATGGCCTCATTTGTTTTTATGAAAGATATTTCTTTCACCATGTTTTGATTTAAAAAACAACAACAGAACGACATACAATATGCAACCATAGCAAAATAAGTCTCTTTATATAAAGTTACTTTTATGTAGAGGTAATCGTATAAGGAAAGAGCTTACCAAAATTTATGGACAAACCTGGGAAACATTTAGCCCTCAACCTCCCACCTCCCCCTTTTTAGAGAATGTTTCATGTACCAATATGGACTCCCAAGAATTATTTTATTGCTACTGTGCTCCAAAATAAAAACCGAGTTTATGAGCTTGATTATATTATATTGGGCATGAATATTACACTCACAACTATGTAAGAAGTCATCTTACTTTCTTGATTGTTTACTCACTTGTTTGCAGCATGTAGAGAAACTACGGCACATATTCTATTCAAGACCACACAAAAAGGTGGCATTTTAAATAAAATACAACTTGGTTTATCAAAAGTTCATTTCTGCCATGAAACAAGACAAAAGTGCAAAATAGTTTTGTCATAGATATCTTAATATGAACAACTGAAAGAGATAAACAGTGTTTTGGAAGGAGGCTAGTGTGGAAAAATCCATATTCGTGATACAGCAGTTCCATTAATCTTCCAGCCATGGAACTTGATAACATCCTGGCATGTACTAAGATGCCTTACATGTCAACAGTGGCATAAAGAAGTTCATTTTACAATGGCATTCTAGGCGTGCCATTAGGAGTAGCCCTCTTGGTCTTCTGCATTTGGTTCTGGTTCTTCCGTGCTTTCACAACTTTCATTCTCACTTCAAACACTTCATGTATGGCCTTACGAAAACAGTGGAAATTGTAGTCTATTAGTCCTAATGGAAAAGATAAAACAAAGTGAAGCAACTCATTACTGATGTAATGACAAGTAAATCTATCTTTTCCTTGTAGTAGCATCAATAATAATGACGATACTTATAACATAAACATACTGCTTTCAAGGCTGATTACCCCAATTCACCATGTACAAGGGGAATCAGCCTTGATAAGCTGTTCATGAGCACAGTCTCCTGTTCTGAAGCCACTGGAGCTCTTAAAGAGTATTCACCTGGAGATTATGCCAAATAAAGCTTCTTGAACTGACCATCAGGTCAGAGCTCCTATATGTAAATAGGTTTATCAAACAAATCAACAGCACATACCTATTCCTGTGTATGTTTGCGAGGACAGGGTTATAGGAAAGAACTAGAACAAGCTCAAAATGCAAGAAAAATTGTAAAAGACTACAGAAATTTACCAATAAATTATCAAGGCCTAGAAATTGTTTTCCAATCAGTCACTACAATGTTTGGATTTAACCACTGAGCCTGCCACCTCAATTTAGGTTAATGTCATAAGCTCTCATCAGGGACGTGGTGGTGCTGTGGGTTAAACCGCAGAAGCCTCTGTGCTGCAAGGTCAGAAGACTTGCAGTCGTAAGATCAAATCCACGCAACGGAGTGAGCTCCCATCGCTTCTCCCAACTCCTGCCAATCTAGCAGTTCAAAAGCTTGCAAATGCAAGTAGATAAATAGGTACCACCACGGTGGGAAGGTAACAGCGTTCTGTGTCTAGTCGCACTGGCCATGTGACCACAGGAACAGTCTATGGACAAATGCTGGCTCTACAGCTTGGAAACGGGGATGAGCACTGCCCCCTAGAGTTCGACACGATGGGACTAAATGTCAAGGGGAACCTTTACCTTTACCATAAGCTCTCAGTGCACACATGTAGTATTAGAAAAATTAAAGTCACAGGCAAACAAAAGGAAAAAGAAAAATAAACAAAAAATGTTGTGGCACTTTAAAGACTTATGTGAACTTTCGTGGACATTCCTCAGACCTCAAATTAAAGTGGAGTTGATATATATTTTAAGTGATTTAAAGCTCTTGTGTTGGTCCTTCATTTCCAAGAACTTCCTCTTCTTCCTTGAATTCAGAAGCATGCAACAGCTAAATCCACAGAACAGTAACACTCAAATCAAGGCTGATAAACATTGATAATTTAAGCCACAACCTCTGTATACAGCTTGTGGTCACAGAATGTGAGATTTATTCCACACATCCATTCCTCATGGATTAAGGAGGGTTACATATTTCCCTTCCTGAGAGCAAAGCCTGAGAATAGACTGCTGACAGAAGCATATATGAGACAAGGTGGCTATCAGCTAGCATTTAGGAAAAAGAAAGTCCTGCAGAAAGCCTCAAGAACAGGCTGGGATGCCCATGTTCCAATCTCCATTCACGAACCTCAAAGTGTTCAACTCTCTATTCCCATGAATGGCATCTCTATCTTAATTATTACTGTACCATTTTTCATTCCAGGAAACCCAAAAGTGCTTCACAATATTGCTCTCAAAATGAAATAAAAATCAATTAATAAAAACACATAGTAAAGTAAAATCATGAAACATTTCATTTAAATTACACTGTATAATCCAGAGAGAAAAACATTTAAGATCGAATTAGAACAATATCACAAAACATTTCAGAACACTGAATATGCTGAAACTAAGTTCATTACCTTTTCTCTCAAAGCTCTCTTCTCTGACAAAGCAAACAAGGGCAAGGAACTTTGTCACCTCCTTTAAATAAAGAACAGTTGTGTTGTTCAATTTTATTATTGCTGTTGATTCTTTGTCATAAGGGGTTCCAGTGCCATCTTCTTTGAGTCTAAAGAACAATGTTTGAGATACAGAAGGACAGTGAGGTGGAAAAGGAAGAGGAGAAATTACAAGAATATGGAAACAAGATCAGGTTATCATCCTTCCCACACTAATTTTAGCAACTGGAGTTACTACAGAGTCTTCCACTACCAATCTAAAACAACTGCCAATTACTATTAATTTGCATCCTGAAATTCAAAAATCAGTTATTCTGCAAATATTTCACCTCATCCATAATTTTCATGACTTCACTCCTAATTTTTAGGCTTGTTATTTGGGTTTACCTCCTGAGAAACAAGAACAATATTTATAATAGTATCATTTATCTTCTCCAATGCAGAAGAATTTATTCTTGAATAGATAAATTGCAGATTTAGTGTACAGTATCTTAGTAGACTTACTATTGCAGATTTGGTGCATCTTACTATATAAAAGTGTTATTAAAGCCTTATTCTAGAAAAGCCAAGCTAACTAGGACTTCATGCTGATTGTGTGACAAATCATTTCTTCAATATGCCTGACATTCACTACTTTTTTTTACAAGTTTAGGCAGATTAAGCCGCACTAGAGATGGGCATGAACCGCTGAACTGACAGTTTGTATCTGTTTGTTCTTCAGCCAAACAGATGTTCAGCACCTCTCAACCCCACTGCCTCTAGCAGGTGCCCACTCTAAGGTAATGCCCAGAGGAGGCGGGGGCAAGGGAAACCAGGGCCCTACCTCTGATTGGGCTCCTGCCATAGGAGGTAGGGCTAGGAAGTTCTGAACACCTGTTTGGTGAAATGAATACAAAATGAATTAGGATGAATCCGCAGGAATCATGGTTTGGTGTTTCTTTAAGCCATAGTCCACCAGAAGGCAGTGTAAATCAAATTTCACCTGGAGTTTGTTAAGGCAGTGGCAGAAAAGTCACTACCACATGAGTTTCAATGCTTATAGACTGAGTTATTTGGTTGTAGTATCTTTTCCCAATCCAGTCACCTCAGTTGCAAGCAACACTTACACTTCTAACACAGTGTCAAATATCTTGTTATATGTTTGGAGCATGGCAGAGCCATACTGCAGTCTTAGTGGACTAGCAACAAGTGTGAAGATGTTTTGCAGTCTTATGCAGGAATTCTTCCCAGGTCAAGCTGTGACAGAGACAAAATAAGCATGGGGCATCCCTGGATTACATCTCAAGAGCTCTCAGGCATGGGAATGGACTCTTCTCTGTCTCTCCTAGGCTTGCCAATTAATCAGCCAGGCATAAAACACCAGCAGGGCACACATATTGTGCAGTAGAGTAGCATTCTATCCTACTGTGGATTTCACTCAAATTGGTCAACAAGGCACACCAAAATTCTACTAAGAGTGGTTTACATCAGGATTAAATAGGGTGGGGGGATTCCTGTCTTACATTAACACTGTATTAATATATTAGCAGTTAGTTAACTATATTAACTAACACTGGCTAGAGAGCTTACTGGATAGCTCAGTAGTTTAGGTATCTGTTGGGAGTTCAATACCCCACTCTGCATCCCAAAAGAGCCAAGCTGTTCTACTGACTGCACAAACACCATTGTTACAGATACCTTTAATGAACTACTTTTAGTGATCATGTATTTCTAATACAAACAGAAGGCTTAGAAGCTCATTACTGTATATGCTAAGATCATTTATTCATTCATTCATCCCACCTTTCTCCTCAAGAAAGACCCAAGGCAGCTTACATTATTAAAAGACAGTGCTTAAAGCTAACATCAGTGACTGTACATATACTCAAAAGTGTCAAACTTGACAATTTTTGTCCAGTTGTGTCTGACTCTAGGGGGCGGCGCTCATCCCGCTCTTCAAGCCATAGAGCCAGCGTTTGTCCGAAGACAATCTTTCCGTGGTCACATGGCCAGTGTGATTTAGACACGGAACGCTGTTTACCTTCCCACCGAGATGGTACCTATTTATCTACTCGCATTTTGCATGCTTTCGAACCGCTAGGTTGGCGGGAGCTGGGACAAGCAACGGGCGCTCACTCCGTCGCGTGGATTCTATCTTACGACTGCTTGGTCTTCTGACCCTGCAGCACAGGCTTCTGCGGTTTAGCCCACAGCGCCACCACGTCCCTCAGTGACTATACATATACTCAAAAGTGTCAAATGAATCCTATAATCCTGTGAAGGTGGGAGGATTGAGAGAAAGGTCTCTCCTAATGATCTTCACACTCAAGCAGGGTCATAAAGGGAGACACAATCCTTGAGGTAGCTTGGGCCCAAGCCATTTAGGGCTTTATAGGTTAGAACCAGTATTCTGAATTCTGCCTGGAAACAGATTAGCAGCTGGTGGAGCTGCTGTAACCAGGGGAGGGTTACAACAGCTCCACTAGGAGCGCTCTCCTTTTCTGAACACATAGATTGAGCAGAGATGTCCAGCACTCTGCCTTGCCCGATGAGACTCGATCTCTTTCAGCCTGTGATGCCAGATATGGTGGACAAAGCGCTTGACCACTGTCATCCCACCACCTCCTCACAACCGAATGGGCCACTGCAATAATTAATGGGTCTCTCCAGGAGGAGACATTAGACCCATAAGGAAGAAACCAAATTCGGCAGCGGATGATATTGGCAATTATAGGCCCATCGCCAATGTTTCTTTCCTTAGTAAAGTGGTAGAGAGGGTGGTGGCTGACCAGCTTCAGACCCTTTTGGATGAAAACAACGCCCTGCATCTATTTCAGTCTGGCTTCAGGCTGTGCCACGGTATGGAAATGGAACTGGTCTCCCTGTTTGATGACCTCCTGAGGGAGGCCGACAGGGGCAAAATATCTCTGTTGGTCCTTCTCAATATCTCAACCGCCTTCAATACCATTGACCTTCTGGGGAGGCTCTCTGAGCTGGGAATCATGGTCTGCCATCCAATCCGTCTTGGAGGACCATCCCCAGACAGTACAACTTGGGGAAAGTGTTTCAGCCCCATGGAGCTTCAATTGTGGGGTTCCACAGGGCTCAATTAACTCCCCAATGCTGTTTAATATCTACATGAGGCCGCTGGGTCAGGTCATCAGGGGGTGTGGGGCTTCGTGTCATCAGTATGCTGATGAGACCCAGCTCTACATCTCCTTTTTTCCTACAATAGTGGATGCTGTTCTGTCCCACCAGCGCTGTCTGGATGCCATACTGGGATGGATGCAGGCGAATGGTCTGAGGGTTAACCCTGACAAGATGGAGGTCATGAGAGTGGGTGGCCCAGACATTGGTGGTTTAGGAAACTCCCTCACTTTTGTGTGTTTGGTGGTTTGGGAAACTCCCTCACTTTTGTGGGGGGGGGGTGTAACTCTCACCACAAAGACTGAGGTTCGCAGCTTGGGAGTGCATTTTGATCTGGCGCTTACCATGGAAACCCAGGTAGCATCAGTGGTCCGCACCACCTACTTCCATCTTTGGCAGATCGCCCAGTTGCATCCCTATCTTGATGTCGTGGCTCTCACCACTCTGGTCCATGCGCTTGAAGTCTCAAGATTAGACTACTGTAATGTGTTCTATGTGGGGCTACCTTTAACGCGGAAGCTTGAAATGGTGCAGAATGCGGCAGCCAGACTTCTTACTGGGGTGAGAAAAATCAACATATCTCCCCCACTCTGGTGGCCTTGCATTGGCTACTTGTTAGTTTCTGCATTGATTTCAAAGTTTTAATGATGACATATAAAGCCCTAAATGATTTAGGACCTCAATATCTGGCGGAAT